CAGGAAGGCTCCCCCAGCTGCCTGTCTCAATATTATACATGGATGTGAGCAGGCGATTACAACATATTGGTTTGTCTGTGTCACCAACCCCAAACAGGATTTGAAAGGGTTTCCCAGGTGTGTGTGTGGTGACGAAAAGCTGGAAGGAAGTGAAAAGAAAATGGGTAGTTTCATTTCCACAAAATACATCACAATCGTGTCCTTTTCCTGCATCTAGTGTTGCGGAATCTAAACAAACGGACAATGTTTGTGCGGTTTGGATGTTTTCTTTCATAATTGAGGGCTTCATAATAAACAGAGCATGATTTAATTGAAAAAAACAAACGAACCAGCGGTGGCATTCCTCCAACTCTGTCCTCACGTCTCGGGCCATGTTTGTGCAACAAAGGCTATTATTGTCAGGGTGAATCAGCAATGAATAAAACGCTCACTGAGTCCGTCATATGTCACATGCCCATGTAGATTTATTTAACCCTTACATGATGCACACACTGGGGAACAGCTTGTAGTGGGGTGGGTGGTTAACTCTCTTCCTCTCTATTTTTTTTATTTTCTGCATCTGTTCAATTCACAGGTGAGCCTCCTACCGTCTCCTTCCCTGTTGAATGATTGCATTGGGCCAGTATGTGTGCAAATGTGTGCACACACACAGAGGAGAAGGGGTGCTATCTCTGCAGATGGAGACGAGGCAGCGGGCGAGGAAGTAATTACAAGCTGGTAGGCTTCACCTCACCAAGCCCCCTCCCCCCACCCTCTCCCATACATCGCCCTGGGGCTTGCTGCATTAGAGAATCATGGGTATAATGGTGGAATGGGCCTCGGGGCCCCCTCCAAAACAACCTGCTAATCCCCCGTGGAGTGGGTGGGTAAGGGAGGGGGGTGAATTTAGGGGTAACAGGGCAGGGCGGACGCCCCGACAATGAGTCCACCCCTGACACGCGCCAGCTCCCTCCACCCCCCATCAACCACAGTGACATCCCCCCATGGGAGGAACCAGCGATGTCAGCCATGAGAGAGCAGTAAAACCCCCAGGCCCGACGCTGGCCCTCCATCGCAGCCAAGCCTCGAGCGCGAACATTCAATCAGGCCGCTGCTCCATTCTGTCTTCATCTGATGCTACTGTTTGCCTTTTCCACAGCACTTGAAGAACTGAACAGGGTTGCGCGCTGAATCAACCTTCTGCAGTCACTGATGGAGAATTCAACTTGCGCATACCAGCTCGTTAAAATGGTTTAATTATGTGTCTAAATTATGATGAGCAATGACATGCTTGATTGGTTGTATCAAAGGGCTTTAATGAGGAGAAAGGCCTCACTGTCTGTCTGTCTACAGCTTTAACTCTATGTCTACTCTAAACATGACAGAATGCAGCCTCGAGTATGTTCAGCAGTCAGTGACTAAAGTCAAAGTCTGTTTGTCTTCAGTGATATTTGTGACAGATTATCCATCAAGCACTTATGGGAGCATTGGAAAGACATTCTTGGGTACGTCTGTCGTCCGAGATTCAGTTATCTCAGCTCTTCACCGTCTAACTCTGTGTCTCCTCTTATCCTCCGTAACATGATCTCATAATTTTTACTGCCAACCTAACCCATCTTTGTGTTCAAAAACATGACTTTCATATTCTCCCTCTTGGCTCAATCTAATGTCTCCATCCAAAGTCCATTTAGGAGTCAGATATTAACATCGTCTCATCAATCTTCCAACCTTCTTGCTTCAGGTTAGGAACCAGTAATCACTCCACTGGTGGGCTAATGGGCGCCTTAACATCAGCTCGCCGAGAGTCCATTCATATTTCATCAATGGCAGTGGCCCCCGTCCTCCCGGGGGCCCCGCCTCGCTAGTAAGGCGAATCGACATCAAACGCTGCAACCTTCCAATTAGACAGTGAGACGTTCTGATCTCATCTCGATTTAGCCTGAGATCAAATGTTCCTGCAAGGATCCAAGGATTTCCAAGCCCTTTTAGTTAGCCAGCCTCCCTGTCAAAAGGGGATAAAATGTTCGCTGAGAGCACCTGGAGGAGATCACATTTAAAATGGCTGAGCTAGGGACTTACTTGTACCAATATTTAGATATCACAGCAATTCTACAACATGGATATTCATGAAAGACCCAACAGGACTGAGCAGAAAAGTGAAAACAGACGTGATGATGTTAATTTCTACCGAGTTGTGATTTACGTAGGTACCATTTCAGGCAGTGTTTTTGCTATAAGTTGTGGAGACCTGTGGGAAGGTCAGAGCTGTTACTCCTGGCATGAAAAATTTAGGATGAGATTCCACCTGGGGATCAGTGGTCATTCCTGATGTGAGATTATTTTGAAACGAGGATAAACATTTGATTATCCCTTTCCCTTGCAAAGTAAGTGAACAGCTGATGGAATATCCTTCCTTTCTCAAGTGTCACAATAGCAATAACCATGCTAAACCGCAAACCTTTCAGCAATAGCAAAGTGAAAAGTATTTTCATTTCTTTGGCATTATCTGATGAATATTAAATTATTTCTGCAGGGCCACAAGGAAGGTTTGGTGAATCGTGGTTCGACCATCTCTGTGACAGCCGGCTTTTCATCCCGACTTCGAGTGTGGCAGCTGGGAACAGTTATAAACCCTTTTGCTCCATGACATGATCAAACAACACATCATATGAACAAGTTCTTTTATAGCATAACCCAGCCCTTACCCCTTCAAGCTCTGAATAGTCTTTCTAAAGTCTCCATTGATCCACTTACAAAATGAATGACATTCTCTTCTACAGACACTAATGAGCAATGTACAGTACAAACTAGAGCTGGGCGATAAATCGATTAATTCAAATTTAAGTTGATGCAACTCTGCTTCTAAGAACTCTTAGTACCTCGTCCACACAGAACTGGAAGAATCATTTTCCCATAGTATCTGACATGAGAAGAAGGGGCTATATATACATACATATATATATATATATATATATATATATATACACACATACATACATACATATATATATATATATATATATATATATATATACATACATGAATACATACATACATACACACACACACACACACAAGATATTACAGATGATGTGGCATTTCACAACAGTAAAGCTATGTTGTCTCTTGTGGTTTGTTTTAAAGGAAAAATCATAAATCGAGTGTGGTGTGAACAAATCGTAAAAACCAAAACACAAAAGCACATCAACTATTTTGAACAAACTGAAAAAAACACTTAACCTGGACCACCAAACAGCTCCTCACCATGTGCATCGTGTAACCTGAATTTCACAACAGGAAAACATTGCAGTTCCTTCCTCAAAAAAGGACCCGGCCGCAAACATGTGGCACCGCTGCCAAAACGTGTCTTAAAAAATAAATCACAGCCAATTAAATGAGTCTTATTGCTGTTATTGAGGAAAAAAATGGGATAAAGAGAGCCCTAATCCAATTAACAGGGCCCCCGCTTGCAGTTTGGGGACAATGGCATGTATTTAGCCTTCAAAATGAATGTCTTCCTTTAATCCAGCCATGTGAACTTTGATAGGAAGGGAATGGGTTTAAGAAGTTAATCTATTCTGCCCTATCAAAATATGGAAGCTGTGGGCTCTGGTGGACTCCGCTCTGCACAGGATTAAGTGTAATATAATATAGCTGCACAGGGACTAGGGTCAGGTCTTCAGCACTTACATGGAGAGAGAAAGTAAACAAGTCTATGAGGAAAAATTTAGAAGAGCGGTCAAGTGACCAGACCACAAAGCGTGACACAGAGAGGCCAAAGGCTAGTTCCTAGTTCACTGTGCTTCACTGATTTCAGGTCAAGGTGGCACCTTGGACTTTAAACAACATTTACAAAAGCCTGGAAGCTTGCCTTATCACACAACCAGACAGGCAACATACAAGAAAGTAAGTAAGGAAAAATGTGTAATTTCCTATCATATCAGTAGTTTTAAGAGGGTTTCTACCGTCCATTTTTTCCTGGCATCCTTGCAAATATTACAAAATGATTATTGGCTCCTTTTCACGGAGGCTGTGGGATCATGTAGGGACCAGAGAATCACACACACAGAGCAGACCAATATCTCTGGGGAATATAATTATGAGACATTTAAGCCGCCTCTCAGCGGCCGCATCTCAATGAGCCCCCCTTTTTTTTTTTTTTTTTTTGCGGGTAAAGACAAGGCAAAGCAGAAATTCCTACCACACCAACAGGACAGAGTCTGTGTGGGATTTATTTCTTTCTCCCAGCTACATTTGGCTCCGGTTGCGTTGTTGACGCTTGTTTGTCTCACTTCAGTGTTTGATCCAAAGCCCCCCGACAGACTGGGAACAATGAATGCACTGAAGGATACACACATTTTCCAGGACCTCTCAATGTCCACAGCAACCTCAGCTCCATACACAGCAAAAATAAAGACAAGGTCTCTTTTTTTTTTTTTTTTTTTTTAGCTCTTCCTCAGATTTGTGTTTCTTTCGAAGAATTGGCAGAGGTTGAGCGAAATATACAGAGACGTTCAGCGAGTGACTGAGGGTAAAGCAGCTGATTTCCCCCACAGACACAGACACACACACACACACACCATTCAAACAGACACTATACCACATAAATCTGAGGCAAAAACAGCCCACTAGTTTATTCCCGGACAATGCGAGGCGAAATAGGGCAAATCACGAGTAAGGGTGGTAAAAATAAATAAATCAAAATGTGGCTCTTCATTTGGCAAACCATGGGGGGGTCAGAGAGACAACCCTATGCTTTGCAATGTGGCAGTCAGATGAAAACCAAGCTCTCATCACGGGCTGTTTGTAACAGAGCTGATGCTGTCTTACATAAAAACAAAAACCAAAAAAAAAAAAAACCATAACAATTCGCAGTGGTGGAAAATCCTCATTCGTAGCACCAGCTCACCTCTAGAAAACCCATCCACACATTCACACATGCCCTACAACTGAATGTGAGTGAACGCAGAGGACAGCAGTTTAAAAAAAATAACCAACAACATAAAGGCAAATAAACTTACCGACGCCGTATTTTTCATTTTCTGTAGGTATCCACATGTTTACGGTCGGGACATTTAAGTGAGCGGTCGGAATAGCAGCGAAATGCAGGGTTTTGGTGCTGTGTAACGCATTCTATTGGTGTGCTTTCCTCCGGTCTGTAGTAGGAGTCATTGTTTAGGTTACAGACGGAGAAAGCGCTGCTGCTGCTGCTGCTGTTCGTAGTGGTACGGAGACGTGCTGCCTTCTGGTGCTGTCGGAAATGTGACAGTTAGGAGGTCGGCGCACGGAGGACCCGGCGATTTGTGTCATTTCTCAACTTCGTGACATTAGGGGGGTGGAGAGTGTGAGAGCTGTGCAAGTCTCTGGTATTTAAGTTGATACTTTTTTCGTATTAATGCGGTGAATTTAACTTTTTGTTCTTAGCTGTTTCAGCACAAAAGCACTTCCTCTGTTTAATCTTTATCTTTTCTATAGGCTTTAAACGCACCTATTGATGTGGTTTGTCATACCCACTAACAGCACACATTTTAAGATAGCTTAATCGTTGCCCATGGTCAACCAACGACGCCAAACATTATGTGACATTGTTATATGTTACTGACACAGAGCTGCCTAAAAATAAAAACAATTTAAACAGGAAATAGGCTAATACAACTTAGTGAATTGCCTGCACCAGCTAGGTTAAGGCTAAAACGATAGTAGCAGAAAGGCTAACGGTAGTTACCACTAACATTATTTTATTACTGGTAGAAAATGATGAAATAGGCTAAGTTAAAAGAAAATATGCTGCTAGTTATTTTTCTTTCTCAAAAATATGCAGCCTTCTGTTAGCCGACAGAAAACATGCTTCTTTGTCTGACCATTTTTACAAATAGATAGATAGATAGATAGATAGACTTTATTAATTGGGTCGTCATAGCAGCCAGGTACATTAAAATACAATAGAATAAAATACTTAGATAGAAAAGATACAAAAAAGATAAATAGGTAAGGTGCAAAGAGTTGTAGTTGCAAGATGGTGGTAATAGTACTGATGACATCCTATTTTGGTATTTCTGCCAGACTAACCTTTATACACAAACTCTACATTTTATTTTCAAAGTACCTGAGACAGACATGTAGCTCATTTGATGTGACCACAGGTGAAGCCACCAAACACACAGGGCAAAAATGAATAAATGTGAAAACTTACATAAGAGACCTCCGCCATGACTCCAACAAAGTGTTTAATTACTCTAAATATAGGAGGAAGATGTCCAACCGAGTTGTATTCGTTTATATCACAACCACTTGAGTTTGCAAGACGCAGCTGAGATTTGCTCAATCTGATTTCAGAAGGCCCGAGGTGTACTTGAATGCAACGGCACCGCCAGCGCAGCGAGAAGCGAGAGCAACGCATTCTGGGACTTGTAGTAGCACTAGTGACGTCAATGAGGCTGTGAAGATCGCATTATCCATAGCACCCTTACAGCCATCAGAGTATCCTTCTGTTTTGTTTTGTTTTGTTTTGTTTTGTTTTGTTTTGTTTTGTTTTGTTTTGTTTTGTTTTGTTTTGTTTTGTTTTGGGCATTTCTGTGAGAAAGAAAGAAAGAAAGAAAGAAAGAAAGAAAGAAAGAAAGAAAGAAAGAAAGAAAAGAAAGAAAGAAAGATTAACTAATTTACATTAGACATCCACATAATTTCATGGTATTAGTGTAGAACATGACTTTGCAACAGTGGAGAGTCTTCTCTTGGACACACAGGCCTTCTACTGGGAGAACTGGTGCATGAAAAATACATGAGAAGAAGAAGGAAACTGGAGGGAGTTCCACAGCCAGAATGAAAGAGTCGAGCACACAGCTCTCAGTGTGTGTTTGTGCATGAGAGAGTGAGTTTGTACATGCCTGTGTTGCATGTAGGGTGAGTGCATGTACACTCAATGTCACACATTTTTTATGAGCCGGCTGTCCTCACTATCTAATACATCCATTGCACCCATACAACCCCCCCCATCCCCGCCCATTGTCTTTCATTCCCTACTAACTCTCATCATCTGTCTGGGTGTAGCTGGTGTTGTGTTTGAGTACAAAGAATTTTTGTAAAAATCCATTCTAATGCATGTTCATTCCCCATGCTGCAAATGGTGCATTAAAATGCTTTGAAGTGTCAAATGTGCCTCTCTTTTCTCTCTCTGTCTCATCACTGCTTCGCATGTCCACTTACCCATCCACCTTTGTAGTTTACATGGTGAATTATGAATGGATGTGCCATGAAAAAGCAAGCAACCCAAGGCGTGCTGCTGGCTCTGTGAGTTAAACTGAATACCATGTGTTTTTAGGGCATCATGGGCTGCGCGTCACACCCTTTCCTCATCCGCCTTGTTTCTCTTACTTTACACAACAATACAGTATACAGAGCCATGGAATCCTACATTTAATTAAAAAACGGACTATCAGATAGAGCCGGATTAATTTTACAGTGCGTTTCCACGTTGCACTGCTTCATCCCTATACGACCTCCTTCGATATTTCTGATTGGAGAGGTGGGGGGTTGTGGGTGTAGGGTAGAGTGTGGGGGGATTGTAGGAATGCTCTACTCTTTATATGAATAAATCATAAGCCGGGGAGCAAAGTAAGACAGAAACCCAATGGATTTATCCCTGCGAGGACAGGAGATTGGAGCCAGCATGCTCTTTTAGAAAGTGGAAACTAGACTGTGTTCTACATCAGTGAATCACTGAGCAAACTTTGGCTGCCATCACTGTTTGGTTGCGATAGAGGTGAAGAAATGTGGCAAGGTAAACAAGAAAACAGGAATTGGACAGATAAGACAGATGGAGCTGTTGACTGCCTACAGCTAAATGTGACCAGACTGAAATGATGTAGTGTTTTATTGTCAGAACTGTGTCCCAATCATATACTGTCAATGGTCCCAATGAGTTTCACACAGATTGGAGTTTGTACTTTCCTACTGATGCTAATGTTAGCTAACAGTTCCAGGTTCCAAACCGGGTTTATCAGCGCCTGTATAATATAATAAAGCAGTAATTATATTGTCAGCCAATAGCATTATAAGACTAGAGTAGAGTCTACAGCCTTGCTAGCAGTTCTGTGAGGTTTTACTTAGGCACAATGGTGCATTTAGCATGTTAGCATGCTAACATTTGCTAATCAGCAGTAAACACAAAGTACAACTGAGGCTGATTGGAAAGTCATTGAAGTGGCAGGTCTTTGGTCATAAGCCAAACAAAGTATTGGGAAAATCAAAAATCTTACTTGATGCAGGCGCTACATGAAAAGTCAGGGGATCACCAAATTCGGTAGGATGTATCCTCTGGGGACCTTGAGTGTATGCACAAAATCTGATGACATTTCATGTACCAGTTGTTGAGATATGTCAGTGTGAACCAAAGTGGCGGAACAACCAACAGATCTGAAACACATTGCCATCCCTATACCCATGAGGCTGGCATAGCTATACTAATCTTCAGTATATTTAAAGGACACATTTACCGTCCTTTCAATGTCTGTCTTGAAACCATGTGACACTGTAAGCCTCAGACTGACAGAGTATGATGAAGTGGCAGCTGAGGTGCCGGGGATGGAAAAAAAAAGGAAGGAGAGGGATCAGAGTGGGCATATCTGTTCACTGACCACACTGTAAAAGGATTATCATGGTGGACCCGAGGACAGGTCAAGTCACCCAGCATTCTGTTTAGGTGCTTCTCCTCTCCTTTCATCTCAGCATCTCCCCTTCCCTTTCCTCTAATCCCTTATCCATTCCCAGTCCATACATGTCTTCATATTTGCTCCGAGTTTCATCAGTGGGACCCATATGTTACCTGCGGGGCGTCATAGTTGAGAGTACTACTGAAGATGATGGAGGGAAGATGGAGTCAGTCATTGCCACGGACAGATCCACTATAGCCCAGATGGGCTCTGAAGATTGCTCAGCATTTCCGCCACTCAACCACCAGTCTCTTTTCATCTCTGGCCCATGGCCACAAATAAACGCAACATCTGTGACACATAAATCAACATGGCTAGGGTGAAGAGAGGAGAAGAGATGTGTACTTTCCTTTAGCATCAGCCTGGACTTGCTTTTAGATCATAAGCAAGATGTAGTTAACAAAGAAGATGCAAGATGACATGGTCAGTGATGCATTTTAAAGCCATAGTAGAGCTTTCAGGTTTCATTTAGAGACAACCCTGTTTTTCTTTTTTTCTCTCATTCTCCTTTTACTTACAGAACCCTTTCAGCCATCAAACCACTATAACTGCAATCAGTTTATTTGTCAAAGCGAGACTACACAAGGCTGATTTACTTTGCTGGGCTGGTTGGAAAAATGTCACCAGAGACTACTGCCTATCACCTCTTCTCAGTAGTTCTCAGCTTTGATTTAATTCACACCAGGAAGCGTGGGTCAGATGGGGAAAAAAACATATGCCTCCCTCAGCTCACACACAGCAGGCAACATCCTCACCTCCAGAAGAAACAGGCCTCTAAATATAGCCATGAAAATAGGCTGTGCCTTACAAGAAAAAACACTCCTCTGTACATTGTACCATATGAAGACTGAATTTCACAACCCAATAGCTCTGATGAAGGCTCTTCATCTAACATTGATGTCCTTAATTACTTTGCTTTTACTGTATTGGCACACTGTACTGTAGCTTTGAAAGAGATTAGCAGTTTGCTCTTTCTATATCATGTGTAATGCCGTCTCAGGCTATAATCCACCCATAAAAGCTCATTCATAGTCGCACAAGCATGTAAATCTACAACCACGTGCATGTACACGCACATAAACACATAGTTCACACGTTCAAAAAATTTTGCAATGCAATATTTTACATGCCGATGCAGACATAATGTTTACCATCCTGATTCAGCATGTATGCTAGCACTTACTACCTACCTGGAATGTTATTAGCTCAGGTATAAACCAAAGTATTGGACAAAAATTTAACCAGATGATTGCACTAGAGGAAAAGTCAGTGAACCAAAAAAGTCGGTAGGCTTCATCCACTGGAGACCATGAATGCCTGTACAAAATAAATACAAAGCTATGCCAGCTACCTGAGCATCATTCTTCATAGTCTCCATCGAAACAACATGAATGACAGAGCAGCATCTGCACATCTTACAGACTCTGGCTGAGAGCAGCATATCTGTTCAACTTTTTTCCTCCTCTCCGCTGGGCCTTCACTTCAAACCTTGTTTTGGCTGGATGTAAAAATAGACCTCCTCCATCTCCCTCCTTAGCATCAACACGAAATGCACTATGGATGA